TAACGAGAGATCAGAAATAAATATGAAAAAGTTCTCAGGACTGCACGTCTCTAATGCGATCAGGGTTTAGGGGACTCGCCCACAGTTAATCCCAAGAAGTAATTTGCTTACTTTAAAACATACAGCTGAGCAAAACTGTCTATACCAGCGCTGTTGCGAGAAGACGGCACCCGTGCGCAAACCTACTATGACAAGACTTGTATATTTGGTGAATACTACATTATACTGGAGATTTTGCTCGGGAGACCTCTTTACCACAGGTTGAACTGTTTTCAAGTGTTCCAGAGGATTCCTGCTCAGTTAAGTTTCATATAACGGTAATTTAGGTCTTCAAGCTATTGCAAGGCATTTATCCCTCTAAAGCTTCCGGTCGTGATTTAATTCATCCGAAGCTGTTGCACGAAATAGTCGCTGAGCTCAGTGGTCGTCTAAAATACGTATTTTCAATATCGCTCGACAGCTTCGTCTTACCTTCGTAATGGAAGGAGGCAATCATCTGTCTGATTTTTAAGAGCGGTGACAGTAATCTGCCTGCGAACTATCGGCCTGTCAGTTTGACAAGCGGATTAGTCAAGTTGTTTGAAAGGCTGATAATGGAGTCGTGTAGAACCACCTGAACAAATTTAACCTCAGTGTTGCGCAACATGGATTCCGCAATGGATTTTCGTGTCAGACTAATCCACTTGTAGCTCGTGAAATCTGGGCCGAAGCGGTAGAGAGTGGCTGCACTGTAAAGGTGCTGTTTGTGGACTATTCCAAAGGTTTTGATACTGTTCCTCACCTTAGACTCTTACTAAAGTGGAGGTCTTACGGGATATCTCGTCGCATCCTTAAATGTGTATATGCTTTCCTGGAGGAGATAGAACAGTGTGTACTCGCCGGGCGTAGCCTTTCGCCTAGGTAAGCTGTCTTAAGTGGCAACCCGCATGGCTCTGTATTGGGGCAATTGTTATTCGCAATCTATGTAACTGACTTGCCGGGGGAACTAAGAATATCTTCACTTATGTTTGTTGACGACCTTAGGCTGTGGAATATTGTGGATATCCCGGGGGTTCTGAGGTGATTCACTGTGTCTTGGATAAGCTCTGGGACTGCTCAACCTAATACTGGGTTCACCGAATCTCAGATTCCAATTCCCCCACCCGATATGTTGTCGGCGGTGGTGAAATCCCTGTTGTTACTCATCAGATTGATTTAGTTATGATCCACTCATCAGCTCTTTCTTTTGGCGATAATTTGAGGAAAGCTGATTGTCGGGAATTTAGTATGATGTAGTTTATCTGCCGCTATCTCGAATTCCTAATGGCCAAAATGTTTGTGGAGCTATTCTCGACAATCGTGGGACTACAACTGGATTATCGCATCCAGGCTTGTCCAACATATCTTATTCCGAGCAAAATAAAGAGGGTGTGACCAGTGGATACTAGGTTAGTGAACGGTCTACGGGGACAGACGTGTCACGTAGGTTTGCTTAGTTAGGAGATGTACTCAATACACTACCGAAGGATAAGAGAGGACTAGATGCTCACTTACCGTATTTTGACGGTCACCCAATGAAGTGACATAAACCGCGGTCTGATAGAAGTAGGACGTAAACTCGTCTTTCGCACCGTGTTATAGATCGCTGGAATTCGGTTTTAGATCGTATGGTTAAAAAAACCTATAGTTAAAGCCTTTGCGTGTCAGCTGGATACACTTGGGTAGCAACACCAAACCTTTCCTTTTTCCTAACTGACTTATTTTCAATTATTTTTAATTAAATATTTTGGGAATTACTCTTTTATCTCTTCCATCTTTCTCTTCTTTTCCTCAGAGTTTATTGTTTTCTCTTTCGTACTTCACGTAACCCGTCCAGCAGGGATGGCTAGGGCAATACACGTGGGCAGGTTGACAGGTGGCCGTTTTGTTAAGAGTGGTAGGTCTTGGGCGCCACTCTAGTGAGATGGCTAATGCCAAAATAACACTTCGGTTACCGAATGACATAAAATGGCACGCGTATACGCCACTCCAAGGAGTTCAGGAGCAGAATATTGAAAACTTCTCAGGAGGGAGATAAATGGGAACAACTTGCATGTTTACAAAATCTTAACTTGAAAACCTACTGCAGTTAGCCACGAAGACTTGAATCAACTGAACAGAGTGGGAAGTCTGGTTGGGAGGCGACGAAGGACTATGACAGTATTTACCATTGATTACCTGGTAGAATGTGTATCGTCGGAACCCACGGTCAATCTCCAAACACTTCTCTGGAGTTTGAAAGTTGAGTTCATGCTTGAGGTGTGATAGCACAAAGGCGTGACACTTGGAAAGGAGGCATATAACAATGAAGAAATTACACGCAGTATTGGAAATCGCAAATAAGCAGGATAAAAAACCGATGGAGACGAGCGCTGTGGGTTGCTGAACCAGATTTCAATCTCATTTGTGTTTGCATCAGAGGCCGTCCACCGCTTGGATTCCGTGCACAGTGTCAAGTGCCCAACACTCGAGGACAGAAACTTAATTTATTGAAGCCGTGACGACCGATGGCTTGATAAAGTATACCATCGTGAGAGAACTTTAAAAAAAGGAAAGGTGCACGCAGTGGTTGCGTGGACTGTAGGATGCCAAGGGTTCGAATTTTTTGTAAGCTGCCTTCTAATCTACGCTAACGCGTCATGCCACACGAATCTGGAACGCGAATTTCAAAAGGAGTCGTGCCGTTCGGACAGGTTCCTGCGCTATGTTCCACATTCTCTAACAATGAACCAAACTGAGGGCATTTGGAGCATCATAAAAGCATATTTGAAGCAAACCATGAGGCAGAGCAATTCCGAGATGCTTCAAGGAGATCCTGAGGACTTACTCTGCATGACAGAGTGGCGACTGGGTATCTTGGAACGATTTGTGTCAGAAGCACGAGCTTGTGTAACGTTCCAGTTCTGCCAAGACATGACAGATCATGTGACGAGGAATTACGCTCGTACAACGCATTGTATTGAGTTGTAAATTCCTCTTATTTTATCGATTTAAATATAGATAATTTGAACTGATTTTGTCACTGTTATGCATCGCGGAGCCATTGTTTCGAGATTCAAATATAGCGATAGTGTTCAGGCTAATTGTTGTCGCAGAGCATTCTCGCATGCAATCGCGTTGGTTGTTGCGAGACAACCAGAGGGTGTCCGAATACTACCTGGCAATCAGAACTACAATGCTGTCAATGGTGTGAGTTCACGTGCTGTTACGTATGCGGCTAGTTTATGGAGAGGGAATGGGACGTAGTTGGTATTTCGAAGAGGTCTACCATTCGCAAAAAGGAAGAGTCAATCCTTGGATCGTTAGGTTGGGCATTAATGCGGATAGCTCGAAATTGGATAATACCGTAAGTTACCTATCGCTACATGAGGAGAGGTATTGTGAAATATGCTAAGACAACGCCTCGGATGTAAAGCACTGATCCATTTCAGGATGCAAAATAGCTGTTTGTCGCTTATCGTCAAGCCCTTCAGAGGGCTATGCGGTAGACTGCTTTCACTTCAGCGCCTAAGTTGTGCCTACTTAGGCCGTGCATCATCAGTCTTTCGCCAGTTGCTGGTAGTGCAGCACTCGAGAGAACACGAACCACCTACGAAACAAAGTAGACATGGCGATCACCTAAACATTAACCATTTTAAGGTAGCACTTATTCCTACAATTCCTCATATTTACATTGAATTGGATTGTTAGGTTACTGCCTTCGGGTTAGGGTGCACAAGTCTTCCACTACATACACAGCTTGTAATATGAATGCCGCAGTTGTATTTCGGCATTAGGCTTCTCAGCAGTGTGCCGCCCAAGATGTTCCTCTCTTAACAAAACGGTCACCTGTCAACCCGTATTTCAGTGGTAAGTTACGCAGGCCCCTTTTGTTACTTTATTCGTAAGTACGTCATAAAATTTCGCTACTGCAGGCCCCGATCAATCGAAGCCATGCAGCTATGGCTGTCTTTCTACGCGGTCACAGTGCATTCGTAGACCCGAGTGTGGTAGCTCGCCCTAACCATGGTAGGCCAAACTATCATATAATCGCTAATGGGGTGCCGCATTGTGCCGGAGGTCACTGCGTGCATGGTGCGTCGGAAAGATACTGGATGCAATTGTAATGCTTTAAGGACTTTGTTTACTCGGCTTACGGAAGCAAACCAGATCGTTAGGGAGCAATTCAATTATACGATGGATGTAATCAATCGGGGAAAATTGTAGTAGTTTGCTGAGCCTCAGCGTCCTTTGGTAGTGTGCGTTCCGACATGGTGCGGCATGATAGTAACTCACCACAAAGTAACTACGTCGTCAGCGTGTGTGAAGCAGTTATGAAAATGAATTCACGTCCAAGGAAAGAGACTACAAACGCGGCGATAAGGGTTCTACTACTCGGATTAATGTGACGCACTGTGTCCTTAAGAATTATGCGATGGGATCCAACCGTACCCCATGCTTTCCTAATTTCGGAAGAGAACGCTGCTCAGGCTACGGTTAGGTAAAATGACTGTCGCCGTGCCTATCTCTCCATGTCTTCAGGTTGCCACATCCAGAGCCTACCACCCCTCCTGTGTAACCGAAAAAGATACTTGGAAAACGTTTTCAGTGTAGGCTTGAGCTCCAGTGCTATTCGCACATTTCAGTCAGTAGCCACAGAAGGATGGATATCGTGGAGGCTTGCGCCTTCTAGTCGGATACGCAGAGCCCACACAACGGTCGTTATTAAGATCAAACATGGCTTCATTGTTGATTGTTTGGATAAGGCCATGGGTACAAAGGCGTGATGAACCAGTATCGTGAACAAGCAAGTAGAGTTTGTCTTGAGCACACAGGTACTTCAGGACGCGGGAAGCTAGAATCTAAAGAACTCCAGCAAAATATGTTCCATTAGATTGATCAACTTGTCTGTAGGGATATTATGGGATAGCCACCTGGTTTACTACGTTAGAGCACCACCAGCTGGTATTTCGATAAGATGCCAAGAATAGATAACAACATACCGAAAACCGAAGTTTAGTTCATCCGTTGTCATCCGACTGTCATCATCCAGAGATAACACCGCGTCCGTTTGAATGAGATCCAGTGGAAGAAATCGATTGTTCAAACTGTTTTTTAGACCATACAGTACCTTAAACAAAGTAATTAAGTGGAAATATTTGAGGAACCATGTATGTGGAAACGTGCGAATTTGACTTGTTTATATTATATTATATGCATTTGCGATATGCTTAACTTGAGAAACAGACCTGCAAATTCACGCCAAGCGAATGGGATACTGCATTCAGTTTTCATGCCAAAATAAGAAGACGACGCATATGACCCAAACTAGTTTGGTTTCACGCTGCCTTTGCATTTGGCATTTCTGTTCGGTACACTAACATTCCATTATATGAATATCACAATATTCGATGGAAAACGCACAGTGTCTGCCTGTTATCATTATCTTCATTATCATCATTAAAATTACACCTGAGCTAAGGTGAGCAACACACTTCAACCAATATGCCACGGTACAAAATGCCCGGGTGTGCGAAAAAATGAGAAACAAAACATTGCAGAATGCGATCAAAGACTAACGCGCGTCTGCGAATTTACCCTATTATCAAGGTCAGCATACATATGTGTCCGTTTATCCCGATTTCCTGGGGGATTATGAGAACAATATTTGTTTTTGGCTTATCTTCCCAGTGAACGGAAACGAAGTAAATTAGTCCACGTGGTTTAATGCATCATGGAATCGTTTAAAAACAGGAAGCGTGGTCACAGAAACGATTAAACTCAAGTGGGCGTTCCACGGATGACAAATTGGAAGAGAAAACAATTCCGGCGGCATTCAAACCGACTGTATTGGGTGACCAGTTTCAGCTGGCGACAATTCACGTTTATGTTGCGGCTGAGTATCAGTAGGTGGCGACAAGCGTGACCGGGGTTTCTCATGACTTGGAACGCCAAAATGAAGTCGCTGCGTAGATGCAAATAACTTCCACTGTACATTCCTATGGCTCTCAGGCGCAGTTGGGGTGTAAGCTGGAACAATTCCTTCACATGTTTGGCTACTCTTGATTGTGCGGTCTACAGTGCAATCAGTTCGCGTTTTAGCCAACGTTGCGGGCCTGTATCTCGTACTCTACATGAGGCCTCACGTACATAATGCATATTTTCGGAGAGATAAAAGGATCGAACTACCCGAATTCCTTTCGCAGGAGAACTGATTAGTTAACGGTTTTGGACGCGTTCAAGGACTGCACCAAACATCCGCGGTCATATTACACCACCACCTGTAGGTCGCACTCCTATGAAGCGGTTTTTAACACATGCGCACCAAGACCATACGAGTAGACGGGCTTGTAGCGAGCATATACATTTTGCATTCGTCCGCCTTAAAACGAAGCATATTTGCCTTTGACAAATCAAAAACGCTGTGTAAGTCTTGTTGTGTCATGCCGTTGTCATCCTAACAACCGATTGGTAGTACATGCCCGATTCTGGCGGAACCCGTAATACTCCGGCCATATGATTTTAGATCATTCAAGGTAGCCCACTACTGCCGCAGCTATGATGGACTCCATCAGTTTTAAGAACAAAGGAAGAAGAATCACTGGGTGCTATATGACAGGTACCAAACGCCTATCACTCTTTGAAATCAGGGTAATGATACCTTGGATACGTATTTTGTGGAACTGCTGCTCATCCAAGCATCTTTAGAAAATTTGGGTAAAAGTATCAACTATCCTCATAGCTGCCACCTGCAGTGCTCTCGGAGACGTTTGTTTACACCAGGGAAACCATGGGTGGACAACGACAGCAACTTCCTCAAAACGGTCTCTGAACGGTGAGTGAGGTGGTTAAATACTGGCGTCTAGCGGAATGGGACAGGTAGGTGACACGTGCTGATAGCGCGTTGGAATGTTGAAGCATATCGGTGCCATAGAACCTTGGCTGCATCTTCGGAGATTTGATCACCTCCATCTGCTGACATTAGTGGGGGAACATCATGATTCACATTCCGGAGGCTGTTCACATGTGTGTACAGAAGCTTGCTGTTAGCACACATGTTTTCCACATGACTCTACTAGTGTAGTTATATGTCCTCACGAACAAGTGTAGCACATGGATTACCTTGTACTAAACAGTCGCACAAGTTGTCAGGGTCAGGGTCCGCTCTCTACACACGCTATGCTGCGTCTCTTACTGCCATTCATTTTGGGGATCCGCTACGAATGAAGGGAGGCGCGTTTGCAGAGTGAAGGGGCCCGTTTACCGATGCGGATTTAATCTGATAAACTGAACTTGCCAGCAACCTCCATCCAGCTAGTATCAATGGAAATCATCCACAAATTTCCAGATGACACCTCCAACATGTTCTGTTAGCATCTCGTATTGTGTGATTTTTCGAAATAAGTCAACATATTCTTGTGGGTGTTCCGCACAACACACGTAGTTGCAAAGTATTGTTACGTGATCACTCCATCCAAGAGGACTCTCCGTCTTTGGTTTTTCTATCATGAACTAATCGTTAGTGAGCACTAATTAAACTGCAGGCGACTAATTACCCGCTCTGAAACGCGTGAGCGACCCGACAAGGCTGAATAGACGAATACTTGCAATAAGCTCTTGTAGGTCAACCTTAACTTGCTCGTTGTGGATGATGTAATTTCCAGACCGTAACATTGAACTCGTCTGATATGGGAACATGGCTGTATCGTCGTGGAAGAACCCTCCCCAACACTAAAGTCAGGCAGTAGTCCATCTCCCGGGTAAACAATGAGGAATGATAAACAACTGTCACAATGCACGTGTCGTTGCTTCTTAATCGCACACTGCATCAGATTGTGTCTATGGTCAGGTTTTACGTATGGTCTATAGGTTCACATTGCTGATCGCTGTGATAATGTTAAATTACCCTACCACCTCTGATGGGGTGATCGTATTAAAATGGGACAAACGCGCATCGCGACTTCGGCGCTGGTAATTGCTGAGTGCTACCAAGTTTCAGTTACGAATATGAGGTCCAAACTATATGATGTTTGACGTGGCCGCAATTCGGCAAGTTTATTCAGACCACCTTGTGCGTTGGGGTGCATTCAGTAAAGTTTCTCTGTTCTCGGCAGTGAGCTGAGGGATATATGTTTTGGATATGGTATGGTGTCGACCCGTGTATGATCAGTCACCAGTCGTTTATTTGGGTGGGGAGATAGCGAACTCATGTGCGCCACACCCACTCACAACGCCATGGCCCATTTGCTCCTCTCTTTGTATGTAATGTGGTATGTGTGGGCCTACTCGTTTCGTCCACCTGCTGAGTGACGCTATCCGAACTGCTGTCGGGAAGTTGTCCATCTAAAAGTTTGCGCTTGCGCTTTTGCTTAGGACGCTGCTTTAGCCCGGAGGTCGGGATGATGGCTGCTGAGGCCCACATGTCTGCCCTGCAACCCTATTGTTTATACTTGTCTGCATTAAGGCTTCATTTTCACAATCCTTGGGTCGCACTATTTGTAATTTGATGATCTGCACAGTCTCGAGATCGATTGCTACAAAACGCTTTCGTATGTCTCGCCAATGTTCCTGCACTTGAGTTGCCGCTTCGAGCACATCATAACCTATAGTCTCGGGAAAACTGTGTACAAGGATAGTCTTGGTTATGGATTCCTTCCAGTAATTTTTCAAATCGTGGTTTACCTATTTGCGCTCGTTCCATGGAATATCTGCGAAGATGCGAATGGAACACTACCCATTCCGATGGTGACGTGTCGATAACAGGACAGCTGCTTCTTCGGCGGAAGTCAATACAACTCGGAGAAGTCTCGATTCACTGGAGTGCTCTGCTTTTTAGTGACGGGTGAGGAGCATAAATCTGATTGGCTTAACCACCACGCCTATGTTGTCAAATATGAAATTCCACTGATACGCATCCTCTAGTTGTTTTCCTTTGAGCTATTTGACGTCGATTCTGGAAAGTTGGTATGAATTACCTATGTTGCACTGTGGGCATCCCGGATTAAGGTCAACCTCCCAACTTGTCTGCATACAAACGGTCGAGTTACAGCTTCGACTTTTTCAATTAACTTGGACCAAGTTGGAGTAGCTTAAGGCCTGAGCTTTCCATTGACTTTGACAGCAACCATTGTTCAGCCATCACTAGGATTTACGTCCTTCGGAAATATTGGAAGAGCTTGAAGGGCGAAGGAGGCCCCGGTTATAATTATTCCAATCGGACTGGCGGTGGTTGGTTCAGGCGTTTTTGAACAACTGGTGGTATTGCCGTCTTAAATTGGATAACGCTTTTTAAAACTCTGCTTAAGATTCCTCCTCTGTTTTGTAACGGAGCCTAATAGAAACGACTAGGGTTTGTTCTCTGGCGCTTATTCCTCAATTAATTCATTTTCGTGTTCCTAAGCTTTTCAACAACGCGGCTAATTTTTCTGGTTTCTACGATTGTTCACGTGCAGTATTTGCCATTGGCTCAACATGCATACTTCACAGAGCCATAGAGAATCTGGTCTGCCATTGTGTAGCACCAATTTGTTTACTAGGGACTTAGAGCACTTTAAATGATACTTGCCGAAACAATTAGAAATATGGATTCCAATCGTACATTTCAATGGCATGAGAGAAAGTCACATACTACTCTCAAGCTCTGCGCAGTGAAATGGGTATCTTTCGATTAATCTTTACCAACCAGTTCGTCTATCGATACCTTTCCGGTCCAATGCCCAGTACATATGGTTACCACTTTGTCGCCTGCTGGCTGACTTGGCTGTATTGTCAACGCCGACAAGTTCGGTGCATCCAGAGGTGCAAGGCAATTTTAAGCGACTAGATCACTCGCTAGGTAAAAAGTGACTGTGTGGATTGACGCAACTTGTCCAAGTGCTACTCCGCCTAGGGATTGTGTGATGTGCTCGTTGGCCAGCCGTATAGAGTTAGGGACCACTCATCTCGCTGTGTGCTTCGTGAATCGGAAAATACCGTATTTATTTTCTCGTGGGAGCAGCATGGAAGCTGCGATAAAGAGATGAAAAGTGATTCACACAAACTAGTTCCGAAAGATGGAATGCACTAAATTGCGCCGATGAATCTGTATTGAATAAGCGTAGGTATACGTGAGTGTGATGCGAAGTGTGAAACTAGGTTCGATTTGAGTGCGAGGGCGGATATTTTACGTCAGTACAAGGTGACACACGGAGATGTTGTGGACCCTGCTCAGTGAACATAATTTCCATGACTCCAGCAATGGTGAAGTCAAGAAGAGGGGTACACTAGGCGACCTTCTCTCAAACCGCTGGAGGTATGGAAGAGCGTCGACAGGTTGCTTAGGTAACTTAAAAACTGGTTGCAAAGTGTTATGTTTAGTTAATGGTTGGAAGGGAATCCAGCCATGAATCTAACAAGTAGTGGTGCTGAAATAAGCACTTCTCTAATTCAGTACCCAAAGGAAATCAGCTCTGCTTTTGTGGAACAATCTTCTTATTCGGTACTACGAACATAGCTGCCAATGCTCAATGTCCGGATAAGAATATTTCATGATAGATGCCAAATAAAGTTGGGGGAAATTATACTTTCAATGTCTAAACTGTAACATTCAGTTCCAGAACAATTAAGATGCTTCTTCCCGTGTTGTTCACTTCGCAATTTATATGATTCTCTTTCACCTGAGCACGTGTTTGGAAACAAATGTCTGGAAACCATCTTCAACCTATAGGAAGGGGCAGGGCTATCGGATGAAATGGACGCAGAAGGACCTTTATGACCAGCGCGAAACTACGCTAGATTTTGTCATCATTAACAAAAGCTGTCACAAGATGCATCGACAGACCTCATTAGTGGCCAGTTATGACTTTCGAAGTATTTCAGTCCATTCGTAAGTGTTGCCCTTTGGAATAATGTCAGTACAATTTTTCAACGCCATCGGGTATGTTAGGCCACATAAGCTGACTCGATTTAATACTCGCAAACAAGGTTTTCTATGACTCAGTTCTATTGCATTCGGCAATCAAACTTCTCAAAACTTAGTTTTTTCCCTTGAAATTACCATCAAAATAGGAATTACATAATCAGACCCACTGTACATTCGTGCCTTTACGGGAGTGTAGAAACATCGGGAACAGAGAACCATATATCCTCCAACGCAGACTTACTCTGATTGCATACGATGTATTTGGCCAATCTATGGTTGTGTCCGGCGCGATTGGATTGTTCCAAACAATCACAACGGATTGTAGAGTGGTTAGGTTGGAGAATTCAAACAGCATCTTCATCAGGGATTCCAGCCGTTCATAATAAAGTATGACAGCTGAATGAAGAGAAAAATGGAGAAATTTTATGACATAATTTCGCACACTTGCTGAACTATTCTCATTCGATATCAGTGTGTTTATCACCCAGTTTACATATAGCTTACAAGTTTAAATTTATTACGTTGTCTAACTAAATTATTTATACGCCCGGACGTTTCATGATAACAAAGGAGTCCTTGAAACTGAAATCAAAAATTGTGGCTCTCATTTCTCGAGTTGAATTTTGTAGGTATGTCAATTACTGCCAACCTTGACGGCAACAAAGCTGCTGGACCTGATGTGCTTCATACACTGATTCTCAAGTCACTTTCGACCAGCATCTCTACTGTCGTGACTGAACTTTTTAACAGGTCGCTGTCCAAAGATTCGTTGCCGATTGACTGGAAATGTTCGGTGGTGAAGCCTATTATGAAAGTGGACGACCCTACAAAGTAGACAACTACAGGCCAATTTGTCTGATGTCTAGTTGGCAAGGATAACTGAGAAAATTGTGAAGAAGGGATATCTGCAGTTGATACAGTCAAAAGTGGTCCTAACGCCCGCACAGCACGGTGTTATGCAAGACTGCTCATATATTACAAACTTGCATGTGACGAGGCATGAGTGGTTGTAGGCAATAGGCAATGCGAAGTCTGTTGATGTGATATTCATCGATTACACTCACTAGAACCATATCATTGGTTTTAGGTAGTTTTGTGTCCTCGCATTTATGGAAGCAGAATGCTGGAAAGTAGAGCTGTAATTCTTTAACTTGAACAGCAATGACAGTCTAGCATTTGTTCTCAAACGAACTACCTAAGTCGGACCAATATGGTTGGAGATAACTACCGAACTGACTCGGTTGAACAGCTGATCAACGCAGATTATCCACGATTGTCAACCCAGTAAGCCTGGAAATATCACGCTGAAAGCCAACTAAGCAACCAGACATGTATTGTAAACACCGATAAATACAATTTGCGTTCATCTTCCCTGTGCTGTGCATCTTCATATTTTATAACTACAGCAACACACACTCGATCAGCTGAGTGTCTTCTTGCTTGAAAAGGCCTCAAGAAAGTTTGTGCCAACGCTTAAATGCTCCGTCTAAAGTGAAACATTGACACAAAACGATACAAAAGGAGCATTTAACAATTTACAGATGATGACCGTAGTTAAGGTTTTAAAATCAATCATATGAGTGTCACCAAAATAAAAACCCGGACAAGTGGGCTGATTACAACGGTAACGTTATAACAAGGCTGATGTACGCCTAGCTTGATTGCCTTACGTAAGCACCCGATGTAGTCAGGATATGTCGTCTAATATGTATGGCTTGTGACATCAACAAGTCACTTTAGAATACCGACGGTGTGGGCACAGAAGAGCCTTAAGCTGAAACTGCGTTCGAAGGTTAAGGCATGGGGAAAGATCAGAACTTCTGGAGACATTCCGTCCGGATAGGCTGTGCTGTTAACTATGTCTTGGAGTTCCTCAAACTTTTGTTCCTGAGTTTCGCGAGGTGGCAGTGATTTGGGATATTGAAACCTTCCTCTTTGTAACCAGCTTGGCATTCCCATTACTATCAGTCTGTTATGGTAATACGGATGGAACAGGACCAATTCACTCCGCAATATTAAGTGTAGTATTTTCGTTCTTGCACGAGGGCTGCTGGTACTCAATGACTCAATTTATTCGGAAAGTTTCCTGAGCAGATCAACTCACGGATTGCTGGTCATTGGTAACTTCTTTTATGCTCACAGGAACCGAGGTCTAACTTAACCAGTACTTCAAAGATATAAACTTTAGAAACTTTGTACAGGAAACGGACACTAAGCCCGTAAGTGCTGCATGTCAGAAGACATAAGTGGACCACATTTTATTTGTTTTCGTTGAACAAATTCTCCGTGTTAAGTAATTATACAAAAGTGCTGTCCAGTTCAACTGCAGTACGTCATGACTATAAATGAGCAATGAACAATGATTTATGCCAGGTAAAAAACCAGTTAATTGACAATGGAAAGATTTGGGTGTTTGCTCCTCCCCTCCTGCGAAGAATAGAAAATCGAAAGTAATTCACTTCGTCAGATCGTTTATGAAAATCAAAAATATAGCCAGGACCACAAACCCCCTCATTTGCGTCTGACAAGGATTCTCGTACTCTTATCTGCAACCCAACGTTCGTGCTGGGAATTGCATATCCAACGCAGCAGTGGGTCACCAATGCCATATAGCTGAAGTTTATGGAGGAACATTCGGTGGTCTCAGCGATCAAATGCTTTTGCGAAATCCAGGCAAATAACATCGACTCCTGCTCCACCATTAGGTGCTTCAGTCCAGCTATTGCGTGCAATTAGCAGGTTCGTAGTGCATGAGCGTTTTGCTCTGTTGCTCTGTTACGTCGTAATTTTCCAGGTACTGTATGAGTGCATCAGCGATGATAGACTCCATAAACTTGGAAAGCACAGGAAGTAGCGTTATCAGGCGGTTATTAGTTGGGTCAGTGCGACTACCTTTCTTATGAATAGGATTGATGACCGCTCTATTTTATATCGTTAGAATATGGTTCTCCTCCATACAACACTGATAGAATATGGCCACAGGTTCTGTCAGATCATTGGCTACTGCCTGTAAGGCCTTCGGTCGAATGTTATCGACACCAGGAGAGCTGTGGATATGCAAAGATAACAGTTTGTTTGACACAGTTTATGCAATAAAAGTTAGATTAGATAAAGCTAACGGTGGGACAATAGAAACCGTGCTAACCGTTGGGCTTGTTACTCTCTAGAACGTTGGTGAGTAATGGAGCCGAAAGAGATCGGCTGCTTCCGTTGCTGATCGCGTGCACCTATCAGTCTTGGTCAGTGCAGGTATTCCGCGTTGCAACTCACGAAAGCCATTAACGTGTCTGCATAAAAGTTTTCCGTTCGTGCATAACTTCATTAACTCCTGCCCATGCGTCATATTGTCCTTGCGGATCAAGTTAGCACAAAAGTTACGCTGTGCCACATAGACAGTTAAGGTTTCGGAATTCGTGGAGTCCTTGTGAGCTCTCCATGTTAAGTCTCTCAAGTAAATGCATTTGCATGTTCTACACATCAGAAATGACTCCCATCTCCTTTGTCAATGGAAGGATAACTGCTTAGACGTGTGAGTTACCAGTGTGATAAATGTCCTTGTGAAAGCATCCCAGGCGATTGCTGGGGGGCATTCGGTTAAGCAGGTTCAAGAAAGCACCTTAACAAGCGCGGATAACAGGATGTAGTGCTTGATCGTATACACTTTATCATCCTCTTCCTTAGGATACACCGCATAACATACATAGTTAAACAGGAGAGTCACATGTTCCCTGCGACCTACTGATGTGTTTGTAATTCTTCCATAGATCATGAGTTCTTCTTTGGTTAGCACAAGACTAAGTATCGACAGCTTGTTAGCAGTTCGAAACCTGGTAGGAAAGGTCAGGTGGTGGTACAGAGGGCAGCTGGAAATTACCTCATGTAAACAGACTTTGAACTGCGTGCTATCGGTCACTGTTATTTCCAGTTTGTGCACGTTAAAGTCGCTTGCGATGAGAATTTGACTGCTAGCACGGAGCATGCCAGATCGAGATGCGTTTTCTTATATCTCCTTGTCCCGTCAGATGTTGCGAACGCTATATTGTCTACAACTCGGCAGGATTGTGAAGGCAACTATTTTATTGATGACGCATTTTCCAATGAAGTGTCGACAAATAGTAGCCGTGCGTCGACATCTTTAGCTTAATCCAAGTAGGTAACCTGGACTGATGCTTTAACTAGCTCCGTAATAGGACTTCTCTCATTCCTTCGGAGTGCAGCACGAATTTCATTATTTGGAAATGAAGGAATTCTCCTTAGTGATGTAGCGATAACGTCGTCCAGAGAGTGCTTCGCGTGTGTAGCAACAATGCTCTCGGTCATCTTTTTGCTCTTCGTGATCAGGAGAGCCCATAAGTTCAGGAAAACTCAACAAATACGGTTTCGTGATTTCGTTCATAAAAGAGTCGTCATGGTATTCTTTTTCCTTTGACCGTCTTTATCAAGGAATATCTTGTAGTATGCGTACCCCGCTCGATTAGTTGCGAAGATGACCTACTGAGAGTAGGACTGTCCCTGTCTTCTCAGTTGGATTCAAGGTTACTCGAAGAAATTGGGGTTTACCGTAGTGCACTGCATTTGGGTGACGCGCTACGCGTCACAGCGTAGTTGACTCAACCCGAATACCAATCGCATCGCCGACGCAATATCACATGTTGCAATCATCTACCAACTTTCCGTTTATTGTTTGCGTTTTGGACTTAGGAACCTTATTGCACACGACCATTAGCGCACTGTGGTTCTGTTTAGTGAATGTCGGCTTGAGTATTGTGAGTGGTAACTTTGATTCTTTGGCTGCCACTAAAGAACTACAGAACACGGAGTCGCACCACTAGTACTTGGTCCAGAAAATGGCCTAACGGGTGTCTCTAGGCGTTTTTATAGAGGCGGTCGATGCACACGTTACTAGGCTCTGGACTGTCGGGGTTGTGACCAACTAGTGGCATTCAGGGATATGTTAATAGCACTCACGCCGGATGTGACTTGCCTACTTTAAGTGTTAGTACTTGCCGGAGTAGGTGGCACAGAGGCCGTTAGGCGGTTAGCAAGCATGACTTTAGCCTTCGAGTTGGGTACAGAGCTCTGTATGGTTTGCTGTAGAACAAGATCGGTGTTGTTAGCTTCTAATAATAAAGTCCTGAAACTCGCCATCCGCTGGTGTATATCAGTCAGTTTTTCACGTTTTTAACTAGCCATATTATACCTTCGACTATTGGGATTACTCTGCATGTTTGGCAAAAGCAGAGCGCATCAATCAGCTTGCTTTGTCTTTGACTTAAACCAGCACAGAGGGGATGTAACGGAAGGTCGCAAAAGTCACAAATAATGCCTCCTCTGACTAGGCGTTTATAATTCTGCTCATTGTATTTGAGGTTAGGCGGAATCAACTTCATTGGGGG